GAATTATGCAATATTTGTCCTTCTGTGTCTGGCTTATTTCAATTAGCATTATGTTCTCCAGGCCCATCCGTGCTGCAGCACGTGTCAGAACTTCTTTCCGTGTATGAGTAATATTCCATTTTGTGCACATACCATATTTTATCCCCTCATCCAACAGGGGATGCTTGGGTGGTTTCCACCTTTTGGTTATCATCAATAATGTCGCAGTGAACATTCAGCATTCAATGCTACAAAGAACATTCATCAAGTCCCTGTATTCTTTTTTTTTTAGATTAATAGAAGTGTACATACTATTAGGTTATATTGTTTGCATCTGCAAGGAAAAGCTGTGGTTGTACTTGAGTCCTTCACCCAGGAGGTGTGCCATATACCCCGACATTGCACCTGTTAGGTGGGAGCTGAATGAGCACCCCCCCACCCCCACTTGAATTTCATTGTATTTTTCTCTCCTGTAGGCCTATAGTTCATCTGTTAGTCTCAGATTAGTATTAAGTACATGGAATGCTTGATTTTCCATTCTCGAGATACTTTACTAAGGAGAATGTTCTTCAAGTCCGTGTTTTCAATTCCTTTTAGTGAATACATCAGAGTATGCCAGCCTTCCCCCCCACCCCACACCCCATCCTCCCAAGCCCATTGTCTTTGCCCCACTTATTCCCCCTCTCTACAATGTTCTTCTCCCAATTTACTTGTCTGGAAAGTTTGTAACCATTTTTAATTTTCAGCTCAAGCTGTTACTTCCTCTGACCTCCCCAGACAGCTTCCTACTGCTGCCACTGTTTCCCTGGGACTTGTGACAACTTCCACTAAGGCTGTGAGCCTGAGCTGGCTTCTCTAGGACACACTTTCTGAGAGGGTGTAATGACAAAAATAAAGAATTTACCATGGTGTCTGGTACAAATGCTGACTCTTGTTGTTTATCTATTGCAATGATCTGAACAAATGCATTAATCTATAGATTAATTTATAGATTAAATGCTTTTAATCTATGTGATAAAATTACAATGCCCTTTGCCTCTGGGGACCTGCAAAACAAGTTCAATAATTTCTACTATCCTTTTGAACCCAATCTACAAACCGTGGAATATTTAGGATTCTTGGCTTTCTTCCTGAAGCAAAGGTGCACAGCTCTTCTCTCAACTATGTCATGGTTGCTCTGTGTGGGGAGCTGGTAAGAGAAAGGTTACGGCCCACACCAGTCCTGTGTTAATAGCTGAGCTGTGCCGGGAAAGAAGGGCAGCCTCTCAATGAGGACCACCTGGCCTGAAGCCAGACCCAAAAAAGAACAAAGCTGGGGGTTTTGCAACCTCTGCTGAGCCCCAGGAATCCCAACATTTCTCAGAACCCAGAGAGGGCATTAATAAAATCACTATTTACAATGCCCCAGTGTGCTAAAGAAAACAAGAGTCCTGGTTCCACTATTATGTGGCTCTGAACTCAGTTAACTTTTTTTTCTGGCCTGGGTCGAGTTTGAACCCACCACCTCCGAGGCCCTACTCCTTGAGCCACAGGCGCCGTTCTGAACTCAGTTTCTTTACACACACACACAAAGCGTGCTTGAGAGGAGGGACCATAACATACACAATGGCACTTCTTAAGCTGCCGGAAGGTACTCAACCGCTGTCACCATTATCAAGGGCTCTACCATGGTATGCTCTTTGAGGACTGGACTCTACCGCTCCATCTTTCCCCAAGATCTCAAGAAAGTCACTAAAAATAAAACGACGAGGAACAACCACTCCCCTGAAGCTCGCCAACTCCGCTAGACCGAAATTATGTTGACTCGAGCCCTGGCAGACACCTGGGCAGGGACACCAGACCTCCTCAGAAACACCTCAGGTCAAAGAGCCAATAGGCGGTGGAAATACGCCCATCTCTCGGAACCACGCGGCTCAGAGTCCCGGGTACCTGGCATCTGCCAGTGGGTGACCAAGATCACTTTTTCTCTTTGTCTTTGTCCCACCCAGCTCCCGGTTTCTTTGTAAGGGGAAAAAGGACAAGCAGGATTCTCTGCAGACGCTCCCCGCTTCCCGCCAACCCTCACCCCCGTGCCCGGAGCTGGGTCACCTATGCCGGGTGCCCCGACTCGGCGTACCTGTCCCGCAGGTGGCCGCTGCGCAGCCCCATGGCGGTGCACTCCGCCGAGCTCACCGGCACCCCCTTGCAGGACTTGACCGGGTAAATCCAAAGCTGAGCCACTGTGCCCACCTGCTGCAGCCGCCGACGCCGCCTGGGCCGCCCGCGGCGCCAAGCGACTGCCCCCAGCACCACTGTGGCCATTCCCAGCGCGGCGACCCCGAGCCAGCCGGACCCAGGCCGTGCAAGGAGGCGCGGGGCCGGGAGGCCCACGCGGGCCAGCACCGACGAGCTGGCGCCCATAGCCGAGAGAGACGCGCGCGGAGGGAGCAGCTGCTAGGCGCCCAGCTCAGCGCGCCAGGACGCCAGGCCAGCTCACCGCCAGTGCCCCAGCACCGCGGTGAAAGGCGTGGCCTCTGGCTCCGGGCCCACAGGGCAGGCGGCTCCTGAGCCCTTCTAGGCCAATCAGAACGGCGTGCTCTTCTGGGGGCGGTCCCTGGGGCGCGGGGAGGTGGGACCGGTCCACGTGGTCTTCACCCCACGGTCTCCTGCACCACCCACCGCCTGTGGCTGAGATGCGCTGTGCCCTTTCCCTGCGGTCGCAGCAAGTGACTATTTACCTATTTTGTGGAGTTGTTTATTTGACCTTAAATAGACAAAATATAAAATTTGCAGGGCAAAGCTTGATTTTGAAATCACAAATCAGGCAGCAGGCAGCTGTCTCTTGGAGATGGGGAGCAGGTCGGCACGGCCTGACCAGTGCAGGGTGTCGAGCTGCCCTCCCGCGCCCTCCCCGCAAGCTGCCCAGGGGAGAGCAGTTATCTGAAAGGTGGAGGGCTGGGAGCGGGCCTTGGAGCCGGCGAGCCGAGGCCCGCGCTTGCCCGGGTTCTTCCGCCGCAGCTCCGAGCGCCGATGGGCGTCGGACAGCGCCCTCTACAGGGCTTCTCCGGGCAAGAAGCCGCGGAGCTGGAGCTGCATTCGCGCGGCCCAGGGCTGGGAAAGTTGGCGCTGCCGCAGGTCCCCAGGCTGCTTGGGGACCGAGGGAGAGTCGCCTTGTCCTGTAGGCACTCACCTCAGTCACATCTCACTTCTAAATCAGGTCACATTCTATACGACAAGGTCAGCTACCACGGTCAGAGTTTGATGTTCCAGGCTGTGAAGTAAAACATTAACCTGATGCTTGTTAAAATGATGGGGAAGACTATTCAAGACTGTTGTAACAAGGGTATTACAATAGAGGAGAAATATTGGACTTAACTCTATATTACAGCAAAGACAGCCGAGTGTTTGTAGCCCAGAAGCAAAGTAGAGGGGGGTGTCAATGGATGGAAAATTACTGAGACATCATGGGAAGGAGATCAGGACGCTTGCTGAAAGCCAGGAAAGGACTTACACATCAAAGGTCAGAGGTGAGGAACTGGAGCAGATGTTAAGAATGATCAAACAAAAAATGGCCAGGTGTTGTGGCGGGCGCCTGTGGTCCCAGCTACTTGGGAGGCAGAGGCAGGAGACTCGCTTGAGCCCAGGAGTTGGAGGTTGCTGTGAGCGTGATGCCATGGCACTCTACCCAGGGGAATAGCTTGAGGCTCCGTCTCAAAAAAAAAAAAAAAAAAAAAAGAATGATCAAACACACAGGATGCAGAAATTCTCTCTAAACTGACTTAACAGGATCCTTGCTGAAACTAGGCTTTGCAGGGGGTGGGGTTAAAAGGTTGAGGTTTCAAGAGGGCTCAGAGAAGCCTGACTCAAGTTTGGTCAAGAGTGTCCCTGTACTTAGTCTCGTAGGCCAAGAGTGTACATTTCTTTCTTTCTTTCTTTCTTTTTTTTTGGAGACAGAGTCTCACTAGGTCACCCTCGGCAGAGTGCTGTGGCGTCACAGCTCACAGCACCTTCCAACTCTTGGGCTTAAGCTATTCTCTTGCCTCTTGCCTCAGCCTCCGTAGTAGCTGGGACTACAGGCGCCCACCACATCGCCCGGCTAAGGAGTGTGCATTTCAATACTCAGCCAGAATTGTCTGTGCTGATAGAAGGTGTCTTGGCACAGAGAAGGGAGAGTCTCCCAAGGGGAGTGAACCTCTTTCCCCAGCTGGCAACTCACTTCGGGGCTCTCCAGGGAGGCTCCGTCTTTCATCTAGAACATTGCTCCTTTTTCCATCATCTGTCTTATGATCCTATCTTATCTGCCCTATTCCTTCCTCTCAGGTCACCCTCACTCTCTCTCCACTCCTGGGAAATCCAGGAACTGTGTTCAGAGTGCAGACATTGCTGTTTCTCCAGCTGCCCGACTCCATCAGTGATCAGCCCTCTTCTGGGAATGAGCTGGCAAGAGAAGGGGACTTGGATAGATCCAGCCTCCCTGAGGAAGTGTTGATTGGTGGTGAAGCGGGACATGGGTGAACAGGATCAAGGACACAGCTCAAGAGGAAGCAGCTCCACGTTCGTTTCTCTCCCTCCCAAATTTCTCTTTAGAAATTTAAAAGGAAAAAGAATGGTTTCGTCATTATTTTTATTTATTTATTTATTTATTTATTTTTATTGTTTAAGGTTCATTGAGGGCACAAAGAAACAGGTCACACTGACTGCGTTTGTTAGGCAATGTCTCTCTCATAATCCTGTCCCTGCCCCCCAAGAGGTTACCATACACTGTAACCCCCAGCCCCCTCCTTTTTTCACTCTCCCAGCTCCCTCATTTCCCCTCCCCTCATCTTGAATTGATTTGAGTTTTTCTCTTATGTGGGTATGTATTAGATTATCGAAGGGCTTCTTATTAGAATTGAGTACATTGGATTCTTGCTTCTCCCTGTTTGTGCTGCTTTACTAAGAAGAATGTGTTCCAACTCTATCCAGGTTAATACAAAAGATGTGAAGCCTCCATCTTTTTTAGTGGCTGAGTAGTATTCCATGGTACACATATACCACAGCTTGTTAATCCATTCCTGGGTTGGTGGGCATTGAGGCTGTTTCCACATTCTGGTAATTGTAAATTGAGCTGTGATAAACAGTCTAGTGCAAATGTGCTTATGATAAAATGGGTAGATGCCCAGGAATGGGATTGCAAGATCAAATGGGAGGTCTAATTTGAGTTCTCTGAGGATTCTCTATACTTCCTTCCAAAAAGATTGCATTAGTTTGCAGTCCCGCCAGCAGTGTACAAGTATTCCCTTCTCTCCACATCCATGTCTGCATCAGCAGCTTTGAGATTTTATGATACAGGCTATTCTCACTGGGGTTACGTGATATCTCAGGGTGGTTTTGATTTGCATTTCTCTAATAATTAGGGATGATGAGCATTTTTTCAAATGTTTGTTAGCCATTGGTCTGTCTTTGTCAGAGAAGGTTTAGTTCATATCTCTCGCCCAATGGTAGATGAGATTGTTTACTCTTTTTTTGTTGATTAATTTGAGTTCTCTGTAGATCTAGTTATCAACCCTTTGTCAGTGGCTTCTCCATTTTAATGGTTGACTTTAAAGTCAGCATAATTGTTCAACACTTCCAAAATCTCCCCAGGGATACAGCTCACTTACCACTTTTACCTCACAAGGGACTGGGAATGGAGGTTTATTTTCATCCCAGAACCCAGCAAAGGAAAATGGAGATAGAACAGCTGTTCCTCAGTGACTGCTCGGAAGTCTCCCTGCAGTCGCCGGCCATCATGCCTCAGCTGGGCCATCTGTGTCCCTACCATCCCTGACCCACCCAGCCCCCACCAGTGACAGGAGCTAATGTTTGTAGAGTCAGATTGTGTCTCCGGAGGCATCAAAAAGGGTAAGGAAAACTGAATAGCAGTGACTGTGGTTCAAATATAAAATGAGAAAATGAGAAGTGGGCTCATAAATACAAAGAAAAAAGTAGGATTAAAATTCACATTTATTAATAATAAACCACAAAATTATAAGTAGGTTAATTCATTCATGGATTAATTACTTCAGTGAGTATTTTTGCCTAAACTAAAATAGTTCATTTCTTTTTGCTGCAACAAAATAATGATTTGCACCTAAAAAATATATTCACATTGTCTTCTTCCCACTGCCACTCTCAGAATTCCATTCCCTTTTAAATTCCAGTCTCCTCTTTATGTTACTCGGAATTGCAGGCGGTGTATACAACACACATAAGCAAATTACTTTTATGATACTTTAGAAAGTTGTAACAGAATATAAAAACAAGTCCTGTGAAGTAATTTCTGTTAGAGGTGAGAATTCACCTCTGAGCTATTCAGCAGTCATGATTTCGTTCACCGGCAGAACTAACAAGTTCACCAGGTCAAAGGAGAGCAAGAAGCTGGGGGAGAGGAAATGAGGAGCAGAAAAAGGAGTAAAGTTTTTATCTAAAGCAAAGCATAGATAAACATAGACTTTTCCCCTGGCTAGTGAGAGAAGACTGCACACAAAGGCAATAGAGCAACCTGAGTATTCTGTCCCAATTACTCCTGTATTTAT